TATGACTACATGGTAATAACAGCAACTCGGTGATTAAAAAGGTGCTCGTCTGCCTAGTGGCAAACGTTTTTGCTTACTGAGCAGAAGACCGTGGGTTTAGTCCCAAGCTCCTTCGCGTTATATGATCGTTAGGACATCAATTCAGCTTATCGTTTACCAAAACGAACCCTGCTGCAAACCCAACCCTCTTATCCAACATCCCAGTGATTCCTCGTGGAAGTGCAGAGGTGTTCTCGGCTTCCATCAAAGCGAGTGTCATGTCAACACAATCCTTCCCATTCCTTTCTTGACCTGTGTTCGGGCGCGGCCGGCGCTGGTATTGCCTAATTTAAGATCACCAGTTTTTACACATTGAGGATGATTGCTAGTCCCAAGCATCGTCTATTGGTTCTCTGTGTAATTACAGCTGATCTGGCAATAACAGAGTAGCAACCGTGGGCGGTCAATCAAGCTCAAGCTCAAGCAAGCTCAAGCTATCGGCATAAACTAAAACAATATTTTAACTTCATACGGAATCATAACTCGTAAGAAGTAAAAATAGAATAACCCTCGTGTCGTAACCTGACCGAGGTTTCTAGCCTCGGTCATGTGTCGCAACAAGGACCTACCGAGAACAAGACGCACAACCGTGCGCTACAAGATTGGTTAAATGACTGATTCAAGATTCAATCATGTACAAAGACGAAGCAGTGAAGCTTCGGTTTGTTCCCACATTGCATGTATGTGTGCGTTTCATTGATTATCAAATCAACGCTACACCCTGACTCAACTATGCTCAAATCGTTCGTGACATTATTGTACGACTACACGCTGACACAAATTTACTCAACTTGAGTGTGGTGCTATACAACTCAACTTTCTTTTTTTTTGTATTCAAATAATTAGTTACCATTATTTACCTTGATTATTATTCTATACCAACTCTATCTACCACAGCCATGAACATTCAACTACTCATCAACTCTTAAGAGTAACCAATTTAATTCGTTGAAACAAATCTGAAGGCTTCTCAACTGGAGTTGCTCTTCTAGACATATAAAAAGCCTTCGACAGTGTTTGGCATGAAGGTTTAATTGCTAAATTGAAAAGTTTAATTTTCCACTTTATATTATGAAATTAGTTCAGTTGTTGCACTCCCAGGAAAAAAAAAAACACTTGAAAGGATTCAAAATAAGTTGTGAAGAAGTTTCCTCCCTGGTTCAGTACTACCAAGGTACATAGAATTTCGAATGTTGAGGCTTCAGAACAAATGTCCAACAAAATAATTAATAATTTCAGGCAAAAATCGTTGCAATCCTCAATTGCAACGATTAATTCCCTTTATACTTAGATAAGATTTAGTTTTAGTTTTTTGTTTTAAGATTTCAATTGTTATACTGTCATGCAGGTTTAAAAAACCTGTTTAAAATACTGAACTACCAAGGTAGGAACAATGTAAAAACACTTAGATATATATCATAACAATTAAGGCTGGTAAGTTACTGTAGTAACTGGAGCACCTAGGTTAAAAAGAAATGTAATTTATTTTGAATTTGGAACAAATAAAGAGTTAAAAAAGAATCGTAAATAATGGAAAACCAGGATAAATCAGGATGTTGTTAGAAAATCAGGATAAATTAGGAGTTTTTCATTTTTATCAGGATGTGCCTAAAAAATCAGGATACCTGGAAAAGCTGCTAGTGAACTAGTCTACTAGCACCGGTTCGAAACTAACGATTTAAAATTGGCTCACCACTTGACTAGCCTATTGGCTCCTTTACATCTATAAGCGTACCTCATTCTAGTCGAAATTCTAGTACTACACTTTGTTTGTTTTGATTCGCTATGAAAGTTTGACAGATAAAATGAGGGGTTCGTGGATATTCCTATTATTCGAGGTGTGCATCGATTAGCTTGGGACCGAAGAGAGTACCAGAGCTGAGCCAAAAAGTTGAGCACGTTTCTTCGGGACCTTCTGGTCTTAGAGTTACCTCTATGCTACTAGGCTGCTGAAATATCGGAATTGGCAGAAAACGCCGTGACAACAAGAAGACAAACAATATCCATCATCAAGTGCTGTTGGATTTCCGTAACGACGAAGATCAACAAAGTGCTGTCTGACGTAGCGTTGTCAGTTATAACCAATTTATCGGTATTTCCCAAAATCGTTCTGCTTGAACCTGAAAAGATATAAAACGACGTTGCTGTCGTGCCTCTGCTCATTACCGCTTCGGACGGCGTGGCCCTTGGTCCTGCAGCAAGCAGAACCAAGTCAGCGGATAAAGGTGGATCACGGCATGATCACCTGTCACATAATGAGGAATGAAAATTAGATATGCAAAATACCCCTCCCCCCGTCTATAATGTCAACTAAAAAAAGACATGGATTTGACGATAACTATTTTTCCGGGAAATAAATTTTAAGCAAACTGCAATTATAAGTAAAAACAAAAGCCAACATTTTCAAAACAATTGCTTAAGAGGAAACATACATCCGGTGAAATTATGTTGGTAAATTACCAACAACTGACTGCAAAAAAGATACGTTCTGCCCCGCCCATTCATAATAATGAGTATAATAGTCAAAAATGCATGACAAACATCAATTTTGCGTAGTTCTACGTCATACTGCGGTCGTGCCTAGGACAATACCCTCTATTTTTTTAAAAAATCAAAAGTTTTTTTTCAATGTCATATGCTTGATAGTCTTTCAACTAGTCTTTCCAGTTCCTTGCCGTTTTTGGCTACCCAGGAATCGACAGGAAATACTATTATCCAGTGACCTATCATTTTTTAACTTCCCGAAGTTTATTTAATTTTCCTTTGGAAGTTTCTTCCAACTTTCCCCGTAAGTTATTTTCTGATTCCTCCCAGAAAGTTAGTTATACTTTTGGTTTCGCTCAAAAGGTTCTCTCTCCAGTTATTTTTCCAACTTCCCCTGGAATATTGTGGTAACTATCCCTAGAAGATTCTACCGAAATTTTTTTCTTCCTGATTTTTCCCGACCTCGAAGTTTCTATCGACTGTCCCGTAAATCCTCTGGCTTCCAACTTTCTCCAGAAGTTCCTTCCAAATTACCTTAGGAAGTTTTTTTTTTATGTATAATGTATCCAGGAAGTTTCTTCCAATGTCTCCACGTAGTTACTTTAAACTTCTACCGGAAGCATCGATTGAATTCTCCCAGAAGTTTCTTTCGACTTCCTTTGGAGTTTCGCAATAAGCTTCCTCCGGAGGTTTTTACCGACTTCTATTGGAAGGTTGTTCCGAGCTTCTTCTGACTTCCCCTGGAAATGACTACCCCTGAAATATTTTTCAGGTTTCCGAAACATTTCTGGCCGTCTGCATGTGTCATCCATTTACTTGCGAAAGTTTGTTTTAATTGCAGTTCCTAGGATGTTTTTCTGACTTTTCATAAAACTTTGTTCAAACTTCATCCAGAAGGGGTCTTTTTTATCAAATTTTAGCCTTAGAAAACGGTGAAAATATAAAATTTATTAAAGTAGGAAATACCGATAAATACCGAGTTTTTTAAAACCTTAACGGCATCCCGCATTAACGGCTTCCCGCTCAATCGAAGACCATGCGCATCAAACCAAAACCGTTTTTTCAGGGCGACAATTTTACCGATTTTACCACTACAGAGTTAATTTTGACAATATTGCTTTTCATGTTGCCAAAAAAATTAGTGAACCACAACCCACATGAAAAACTCCAGGAATCAACTGCCACGTACTGCACCTGATTGGAACATACAATTAACGAATCACCAATGATAAAGAAATCTTGCATTAAATAATATTTTACGCTAAAACCCCTGATATTCTCGTTTTCGTTCGAACCGTTTTTCCATACATTTTTTTGTATGATAAATAAGGTTCGAACGAAAATAAGAATATGGGTATACATTTAGTAGCGTAGTCCTACGTCAACAGTTCGTACAACCAACAATCAATACGAAACTAACGATTTTAAATTGGCTCACCACTTTAGTAGCCTATTGGTCCCAAGCAAACGATTAACGTACCCTATTCTAGTTGAAATTCTATTACTATACTATGTTTGTTTTGATTCGCTATGAAAGTTTGACAGATAACATCAGGGGTGTGTGGATTCATGCAGAACATGCAGGGGTGAGTGAAATAGCTTGGGACTGCTTGGGACCGTTGTTCTGGTACTGAGTGAGCCAAAAATAATAATGATTTTCTTCGGGACCCAGTGGTCTTAGAGTTACCTCTATGGTACAACCCCATTAGTCCCTTGTAGTTTTTTTTCTTCATTTCCTCCTCGACTACTGAAGCTGATACCCAAATGAGCTGATGTTCGGAACCATCACAGGCACATTCACATTTTCAACCATTTTTAACCATAATGTACATAGTTTTAAGTTTTAGTTGACTTTTAAAAATGTATTTTATTTTGTTTGACCCTACCTTAATGTTTATAATTTACATGTAATGTTTATGCTGAAATGATATGAGGTTTTTATGCCCTTTTGAGTACGACTAGAATTTGAGTAACCATCTCAAAGAGAGCTTTTCCTCATCAAAGAACATTTCATTAAGCCTTGAAACTTGATGGAAATAATTAAATAAGCTGTTAATATAATATTTTTACTATAAGCTTATCCTGGACAGTTATATACGTAATTCTACTTCTAGAGGGACTGTGCATCTGAGTCTATAACCTAATTTTACTCCAGACTTAAACAACTGAGTATTGAGTCCCAATTCATGTAGAGAAATAATAAAAAAGGATAAATTAGTTAAATAAATTACATTTGTTATGTGATTGCTCATTGCAACTCAAAAGGAGGACTCGTATATATTACATTACACCGAATATTGCTTTACGCGCCCCTTGAACAAATACTTGTATGTGTTCACCATTTCAATGCATCACCGATGTTAACAACGTTTTGAGTGTGTCCTGCCGTTTTACTGTTTCTGAAGGGCTGCTAGGAAGCCGTCTTTGTGTACAAAGCTTTTTCACCCTATAATAAAACATAGCATTTGCGCGATGCAACCCTTAAATTTTATTAGTATTGGCGGAAGAAGTCATACTCAATACATAGTGTAGATTTTGGGGTTGAGTTTAACCATTATTTTTAGTAAGACATTGCAAATTGAGTTCATAGCCACTTCCAAGTAACGCAATGTTTTACAGAAGATAATTTGTGAGAATGTGGCACAAATAATCACAATCCTGTGTGAAAAAATCATTCCTGAAGTTTCGCTTCCGTACACCAAGAGTGGAAATTAAAATCTGATGTGATGCTGTAAAACAGTGAAAATTAACTATTCAAGAAACATTTAAACTTAATGTAAGTACATGTTATCAACATTTCACAAAAAAAGCTTTCTCACAAATATTTTGTTGAGTGTATGTATTTAAATTAGAAACCAGGTGTTGAAAAATAAGAAGAAAAAAAAAATCAGTAGGTAGCCGTTGACCGTCATGACTAAGAATGCAGATTTTGTATTCCATTCTGCAGGCAGCATATCCGCAGTCTGATTCATATTCATGCGTATAAATAGATGTTGTCATTGCATGTTAGCTTCTACCAGAATTAATATAAGGTTTGCGGTATTAACGCTTAGAAGAGGTTGTTCGTGAACTTAATAAATGAATGAATAGTTCAATTTAGCCATCTCAGGTGCTACTACAATTTAATTATTAGGGGTGATCGAATCATTCGTGTATTGTGTGTTAGTGATTGAAAATTACAGCTATTTTTCTACTAACAGTGTTAGCTTTGAAATTTGGTTATGCGGAAACGTGACAGTTTTAGCTTTGTAGTAATCTATACAGCTTTCTATTCTACTCAAAATGTATTGATATCGTGTTGTTTATGACGATCATTTAGCTTAGTTTTAGTTAAATCCTATAAAGCTTATTTAAATTGTACTGGAACGATTTACTAATACTATGTATCAATATGCATTTACTATGATTATGTTGAAGAAAAAATTCAATTCATTTCTAAATTCTTAAACAATCTTAGTTATGGGAGTAAAAATATGAGTTCAAAAATATTTTTTTTGTTGAAATTATTAACATGATAAAATAATTCTGAACTGGACAATAAGATTCAACGTGATCTTTTTGCAGAGTAAAAAAGAAAAAGAAAACATGTAGTAACAACAACCTTGGAAAAAAACTCAGTCTACTGGTGAAATTCGGACACCTCCTACAAGACAGCCACTTTCACCTTCACGTTACTTCAGTTTGTATTGCTATCAGCCCACGTGTATATTATTTCAAGATTTTCTTAACTGTTTTACTATTGAAACACATGTTTCAGCTTTTGAATATTGGTCTAAAAAATGACTGATCACTGTTGGAGAAAAAGGGAACTGAGAGTTGCTTCATTTCAAATGGAATTAAACATAATTATTGCAAACAAAAATAGCATATATAATTTGTGAATGACAGACAAAAAAACGAGTAAAGAATTCATGGGTGATCAGTAACGGCATGCAATAAAATAATGTTGAGTGTTCCATGGCCAGTTTATTTTCTTAAATATCTGTAGCATTCATTTTTTTAGTTGCATTTCTTTTTGTTTACCGATTTCTATTAACTTGTGAGAAGGGCACCCCCCCCCCTACACGTGTGTACATATTCATGAAAAACACGTAATTTTTACCAATTCCCACTTTTACTAAAAATAGGTAGTTTTGGGTAGGAAAAGTCCAAAATCCGAAGTTTTGATTAATTCACTTGTGAATCGGTTGACAATTAACAAATTGGTAGGCAACTCGAAAATCGGTAGGCAATTCCAAAATCGGTAGCACTATCGATAAATCGGTAGGTCTGGCCACCCTGTTACTTTACCGTTATATAATCATGTAGAGACGCAGGGAGAGTTTGCCACGCATTACCTTTGTTGTTGCTCGTTCATCGTTTTTTGATACCATCAATTAGATTTGTGCGTATAATCGTCACTCATTTCACATAGAATCGGCTACGTCCTACATAACTCCGAATGTCATCAAAAATAGATTTACAATTCGTGATCAACAGTTATGCTTCGCGGCATAGGTGTAACCAGAGGACAAGAGGGGAACAGATGTCGCTTAACTCAGTAATAATTTTTTTTTATATTTCTTACAAAGAAGAATGTACATGTTACTTGGAAAACCGGCCAGAGTGTCATATACAATTTGACTCAGCTCAACGAGATAGGAAAATGTTTTTGTATGCGACTCCCGTTTCGTGGTAACCACTGAACCGAATTGGATGTAACAACCACCACATGAATGGGACAATTCGGGAGATATGTCCTTAAGACCATATTTTCCCTAATTCGGTACAAATACAGACTACTTCGACCACATTTCCCATGCAAAAATTCCAAAATTTACCACCACATCTCAAAATTCCTTCCTACCTCGTTGTTCGCAAATTTCTATTTAGAAAGAGTTTAGTCTAATAAGGTTTACTTTTATTTCCCTCTCATTCTCTCTTGTTCTGTCTCATTCTCATATTTACTCACGCTGCATGTAAGCGTAATGTGGGAACGCTTTGTCTATATCTCGAGAACGAGTAAAGTCATGTTTTTACTTATAGCTTACTTACTTACCAATCAGGCTAAGGCCTTGTTGTCCTCTGCTCCACTCTACTCGATCCATGGCCACAGTTCGCCAGCCTCGTAGTCTGCGAAGGGTCCACAGGTCACCTTCTACTTGGTCGATCCACCTTGCCCGCTGCGCGCCTCTTCTTCTTGTTCCTGTTGGGTCGCTTTCTAGAACCATTTTCACTGGGTCGTCGTGCGGCATTCTTACGACGTGCCCAGCCCACCGTAGTCGCCCAATTTTTGCAATGTGGACGATGGATGGTTCTCCCAGCAGCTGGTGCAATTCGTGGTTCATTCGCCTCCTCCACGTTCCGTCATCCATCTGCACTCCACCGTAGATGGTACGCAACACCTTCCGTTCGAAAACACCAAGGGCGCGTTGGTCCTCCACGAGCATAGTCCAGGTCTCGTGGCCGTAAAGGACCACCGGTCTAATCAGCGTCTTGTAGACAGTCAACTTCGTGCGGCGGCGAATTTTATTCGACCGGAGCGTCCTCCGGAGTCCAAAGTAGGCACGATTCCCTGCCATAATGCGTCTTTGAATTTCTCTGCTGGTATCATTTTCGGCGGTCACCAGTGAGCCCAAATACACGAACTCATCGACCACCTCGATTTCGTCACCGTCAATCTGAACTCGGGGTGGGAGGCTAACATTGTCTTCCCTAGAACCTCTTGCTTTCATGTATTTTGTCTTTGATGCCCAATCCGTCTAGCTTCAGCCTTCAGTCTGATGTACGTTTCCGCCATCATCTCAAAGTTCCGTGCCATAATGTCAATGACATCGGCGAAACCAAGGAGCTGGATGGACTTCCTGAATATCGTGCCACTCGTGTCTATCCCAGCTCTTCTGATCACACCTTCTAACGCGATGTTGAACAGCAGACACGAAAGTCCATCACCCTGCCGTAACCCCCTTCGAGATTCAAAGGGACTCGAGAGTGTCCCCGATACTCGAACAACGCACATCACTCGATCCATCGTCGCCTTGACCAATTGCGTCAGTTTATCCGGAAATCCGTACTCGTGCATAATCTGCCATAGCTGATCTCGATCGATTGTGTCGTATGCGGATTTGAAATCGATGAACAAATGATGTGTGGGCACGTTGTATTCGCGGCATTTCTGCAGAACCTGCCGAATCGCGAAAATTTGGTCCGTGGTAGCGCGGGCACCCATGAATCCCACCTGGTATTGCCCCACGAACTCTCTTGCATATGGTGACAGACGGCGGCATAGAATTTGGGAGAGTACCTTGTAGGCGGCGCTCAGCAGTGTGATCGCGCGGTAGTTGCAGCAATCCAACTTGTCGCCCTTTTTGTAGATTGGGCATACGACACCTTCCATCCACTCCTCCGGTAATATCTCCTCCTCCCAAATCTTGGCAATTACCCAGTGCAGCGCTCTAGCCAGTGCTTCACCACCGTATTTCAATAGCTCACTTGGTACACAGCAAAAAAAAATGTAATATCGATCAACGTAATTCAAGCTGATGTATGAAATAATGATGTAATAGCAAAAAGCAGATACAATATTACATCAATGGATGTAATTTTGTTCGCAAAATCGATGTACATCGTACAATGTGATATTACACAACCGATGGATTGACCTGGTTGCAGCAGTTTCGATGTAATATTCAACAACTTTTTTTGCTGTGTAGTTGATCTACATCAGTTGCTTTGTTGTTCTTCAGCCGACCGATCTCCTCCTCAACTTCTTGAAGATCAGGGGCCGGTAGCCTATCGTCTTCTGCGCGTGCTCCAAGGTCTGTTGCCGTGCCACCTTCGTTTTCTGCTGCTTCACCGTTGAGGTGCTCGTCATAGTACTGCTTCCACCTCTCAATCACCTCACACTCGTTCGTGAGAAGGTTACCGTCCAAGTCCTTGCACATATCGGCTTGCGGCACGTAGCCTTTGCGCGAACTATTTAGCTTCTCGTAGAACTTCCGTGTGTCGTTTACGCGGTACAGATTTTCCATCGCCTCGCGATCTCGGTCTTCCTGCTGACGCTTCTTCCTTCGGAAAACCGAGTTTTGTCTGTTCCGCGCTTGTCTGTATCGCTCCACATTCAATCTCGTGCGGTGTTGCAGCATTCTCGCCCGTGCTGCATTCTTCTCCTCTACTTACAGTTTGCATTCGCCGTCAAACCAGTCATTTCTTCGGTCCGGGATTGCAGTACCTAGTGCCGCTGCAGCAGTACTACCTATGGCTGAACGGATGTCCCTCCAGCCATCTTCAAGAGAAGCTGCGCCAAGCTGCTCTTCCGTGGGTTGCACTACCTTCCAGCTGCTGCGCGTAGTCCTGGGCAACTCCGGTGTCCCGTAGTTGCTCAATGTTGGGTCGTGGCGTTCGACTTCGACGTGTGTTATGCACCGTCGAGAGTTTTGAGCGCATGCATACTGCAACTAGGTACTGGTCCGAATCTATGTTCGCACTGCGGTACGTGTGGACGTTGATAATGTCGGAGAGGAATTTCCCGTCGATTAGAACGTGATCGATTTGGTTTTCTGTGTGTTGGTCAGGTGATCTCCAGGTGGCTTTGTGGATATCCTTGCGGGGGAAAAAGGTACTTCGAACTACCATACCCCGGGAGGCTGCAAAGTTCACGCATCGTTGGCCGTTGTCGTTCGATACGGCATGCAGGCTGTTTGGCCCGATTGCCGGTCTATACATTGCCTGAGCGTTCATGTCACCGATGACGATTTTGACGTCCCGTTGCGAACAGCCGTCGTACACCTGCTCCAG